AGCTGCAGGCGAGAAGAGCCGAATCAGCTCTGAGAGGCCATGCCCAGTGGCAGACCAATTGAGGAGGGTTTCCCGTGTAAGCCTCTGGCCTCCACATATTCACTCATGCACATGTTCTCACATACATGTAAACATGTGCACATGAAATGGGAGAAACATGGAGAGCAACTGAGGAAGAGAAAGAAAGAAGAGAAAGGAAAGAGGCTGTGGGCCTAGAGACGTATGTGAGCAGTAAAGTCACTTGCCACTTCAGCCCGACAACTGGAGTTCGGCTCCTGGAACTGGCATGGTGAAAGGAGAGAACCAGCTCCAGAAAGTCGTCCTCTGACCTCCACACGTGCAATTGTACACACACGCACACACGCACGCACACACACACACTAAACAGCTCCAGCTGCATAGCACGACCTTGTCTTAAAAATAAAGTGAGAAAACCCTACTCTGCTGGGTCCGAAGATGGTCAGCAGCTGAAGATGCTTGCAGCCAAGCATGGTAGCCTGCGCTTGATCCCTGCGCCCCCATGGCAAAAAGAGAGAATCCGCTCCCCCAGATTCCTTCTCCCCTCTGCACAGATGCAATGACACGCATGTGCACACACATAGCACATGTAAAGCCTAATTTTATTTTTTTTATTTTTTTTTAAATATTTATTTATTTATTATGTATACAATATTCTGTCTGTGTGTATGTCTGCAGCCCAGAAGAGGGCACCAGACCTCATTATAGATGGTTGTGAGCCACCATGTGGTTGCCGGGAGTTGAACTCAGGACCTTTGGAAGAGCAGGCAATGCTCTTAACCACTAAGCCATCTCTCCAGCCCCTAATTTTATTTTTGAAAAGACTTTGAAGAACCCAAGTGTCTGTACTGATTCCAGCATAGTCAAAGCCCATTTCCAGTTCCCTTCCATGGTTCCTTTTCCTCACTGAGAGGCTGACTGGGGGTGGGGCTAAGGAATAAATACAGTAAGCAAAGGGAGCAGATACACCATGGTTCTGTAGGCCCACTGCTGGCACAGGCCAAGAGTGGGGACAGCACCCTGTTTGGGCCTCAGCAAGGCAGGCTCTGCTGTGTGGGAAGGACAGCAGCAGCGTCCGATAGCAGGGCTCCTGTCAGGCGGGGGTGGGGGGGGGTGCGTAGCAGGGGGGACGGGGTGGAGGGTGGGAGGGTGTCGGTGGACTCTGTCTCTGGCTGCCTGCAGTCCCCAGGGTTCCCTGCAAATGCCCTGCCCTCAGCTTAACCCTGCCCTCTTAAATCCTTACTATTGATACTCCCTTCAAAGCTACCCTTCCCTGCTACAGATTCCTAATCCTCTTTAAAGTGATATATATTTGTACCTCAATAGGTCAGCGGTGTTTATAGGGCAGGTCATGGGCAGTTGGCCCACGTGAAAACCCAACCAATGTGAGGTCCCTCGGCCAGAGACTACATCAAGTCGTGTTTCATGCATAGAACTCATTTTCCTTCTCCCTTCCCATTGGGTACTGGGGATTGAGCCCAGGATTATACATGCTAAGCAAGAGCTTACTGCTCTTACTTCTCTCTCTCTCTCTCTCTCTCTCTCTCTCTCTCTCTCTCTCTCTCACACACACACACACACACACACACACACACACACACACACACACACACAGTCTCACTAAGGCCTTGAGCNCACACACACACACACACACACACACACACACACACACACACACACACAGTGTCTCACTAAGGCCTTGAGCGTGTACTTTTCTGTGCCCGCATCCTAAGTGGCTGGGATTATAGGTCTCTGTGCCAACAGGCCCACATACAATTTGTTTCTCCTTGTAGTTAATTTTTGAAGGTTTATCTTTTATGTGTATAAGTGTTTGCCTAAACACACACACACACAGGTATGCAGTGCTCAAGGAGGCCAGCCATAGGTGGACATGAGTCACCATGTGGGTGCCAGAAACTAAAGCCGGGTCTGCTATAAGAACATCAAGTGTTCTTAACCACTAAGCCATCTCTCCAACCCCTGTTGATTTCTTTTTCTTTTGAGACAAAGCCTTCCTATGTAGCCCAGGCTGGCCTGGAACTCCCAACCCTCCTGCCTAAGCCTCCAAAGGGCTGGGCTCACGGCTGAGCCCACCACTCCCATCTCCTGGAGCAGTGCGGGAGTCACACCCGCTGCTCCCTTGCTCTAATCCTCCAACAATTTCCAGTCCACACCAGGATACTTGGTGCACTCCAACTTTGTCCTCTTCCTCAGTTTCCTCCACAGATACCAAATGCAGGCGGGGGCTAGGCTCTCTGAGGATGAGTGGAGGGCCTAGCAGGGTGACTGCAGACAGTCACCTTGAGGGAGTGTGACTTCATTAGGATGATATGCTTAGGGTGACAGGAATGCAGGCAGCATCGGGACCTCCCCCTCTTCTCCAGCAGGTCTCAGCGACAGCTTCAGTGGGGACCCTATGGGGGCGGGATGAGAGTCACATGGGGAGGTCAAAGTTGGGGGGGGGGAACTGCAGGAGTGCTGAGCTGTGTCAGGAAAGGGCTGGGTCATCCAGCTGGTGAGTTACTGGGGGGACGGAGTTCATGTATTCCTGTAAATGAGCTGAAAGAACTGAGAACCAACAAGGGAGCTGAGTTTCAAAGACAGCAGAGAAACTCATGGGAGCCAGGCTCAGAGTTTCTAGACTCCAATGTGTTTGGGAGCCCTGCAGGGCTTTCTGGAACAGTGCTGTGCCCCACCCCAAGGTCCCTGAGTCAGCTTGCTAGGAGTGGACACCTGGGAAACTCTGCACAGCAAATTCCCAGAGGCCACCGCTGTTTGGCCCACAGGTGAATGGGGAGGCGATTTTTACAGTTAAGGGGTGGAGGGCAGGGAGACAGCTCGGTAGGCGAGAGGGCTAGTTGCTGGTGCTCTGAGTGAAGTCCCTGGAACCCACAGCCAAAGCTGCCCTCACACTGCGAGATGGGAGGTGAAGACAGGGGGATCATTTGGAAATTTACGGGAGCTGGAAGCAGAGCAACAAGAGAGACCCTGACTCAGCAAGGTAGAAAGAGAGAACAGACTCCCGGAAATGCCTTCTGACCTCACGCACCTGTCCTCACACAGACACAAGATAAGTTAATTAGCTAAATAAACAACAACAAAACACAACTAAGGGGGCCAAGGACATGTGAACTAGTGTGGGGGGTGGTCAGTCCTCACTTGGCTGTTGAAATTACGGACATGCTGCCTGGGGACAAGCAGGGACATTACTGTTCAGGGACAGTAACAAGGAGTAAAACGAAAGCAGAGCAGGACAGATATTTAAAATATTGATTTTTATTTATGCTGGTCTACATGTGCACCATGTGAGTGCAGGTGCCTGCAGAGACCAGAAGAGGGCGTCAGATCCCCTAGAACCGGATCCACAGGCAGCTGTGGAGGATCAGTGTGGGGGGGTACTGGGAGCCAAACCCAGTCTATCTGGGAGAGTAGAAAGGACTCGGAACCGCTATCTGTCCTCTCCAGCCCTGGGACGGACAGTCTGAGGGAGAAAAGGGGCCATTGAAGGCAGCAGTGGGGTCTGAGGAGAACACTAGCCTTAGACCCACAGGAATGTGGGCTGTGGGAGAAAGTGTCACTAGTCCGAGAAAGGACAACATGGAAGTAGTTCCCACACAGGGACTGAACGGTGAGATTTGAAGAAACTGGGGTGTCAGGTGACAAAGATCGCTGAGAGATGAGGTCAGGCCTGCGCACATCATCAGCAACCCCAAAATAAGCCCGTGGAAGGTGGGATCACAATGCTTCTCCCAGCCATCACCCAAGCCCTGCTTTAAAGATAGCTTGTGGCGGGCTGGAGGGAGGGCTCAGTGTTTGCAGAGGACCTGAGTTCAGACTCTCTCTCTCTCTCTCTCTCTCTCTCTCACACACACACACAATTTTAAAATAACAAAAATAAATCTTTTTAAAAATAAAGAAGCACATGGGTTGGATAGATGGCTCAGCAATCAAAACATTGGCTGCTCTTGCAGAGGACCCAGATTACACTGAACGTAACTTCAGATCTAGGTGAACCGACACCTTCTTCTGGCCTCTATGAAACACGGCTTGCGTGTGAAGCACATACATGCATGTATACAAACGAACACTTGTTCACATAAAATAAAGAGAAAATCTAGCCAAGCGTGGCTGTCTACACCTTTAATCCCTGCACTGGAGGCAGAGGCAGGCTGGTCACTGTGAGCTCAAGGTCATCCTGATTGAGTTCCAGGACAGCCAGAGCTGCTGTGTGAGAACCTGTCTCAAAAAATAAATAAAAACAGAATCTAAAAGATAGCTTGCTCGGGGGGTGGGGGGGGGGTCTGTCTTCCTGTGTCAATAGGGCAGCCCAGAGTGGCTTTGAACTCAAGATCCCCTTGCCGCTCCAGTGCCAGGATTATAGTCGTGCACAATGAATATGTAATTGATTCTGTGTATAATGAAAATATATAGTTGATCAACACAATGAATATGTAACTGCTTCCAAAGCAGGTTCATGTGGTCTTTAATATAAGCTACTTCAACATAAGATGCTTGAAGATTCACACTCCCAGGTCCGCCGGTCTGTAGTGCTTGGAAGGGAATGGGAGGGGTCGCTTCAGCGCTTGAATGCTGGCTGGGGAGAAGCATTTGTCCTTTAAACTGGAAAATGAAAACCCCAAGATTCAGGCGCGGTCTGTGAGAGAGCCACGGACATTGGTGGGACCAAGAAAACCCCAGAGTTCTTATAGACTGCTGTCTCTCACCAAACCTGTGGAGGAGCAAGGCGGAGGAAGCTTAGCCATATGGAGGTCAGGCACTCCGGGAATCTTCTAATGGTCTTACACAGCTAAGCTGACCTGGGCTGCGCCCCTTCTGGAGGTCCCTTCACTACCAATCAGCTTCAGTTTCCCTGAGACATGAAAGGGCTGGGCTAACCAAGGCAACGGAGGCAGAGGGCCGGCGCCTAAGGTCAGCAGAGGCCTTGGAGGAGACACGGGGCCTTTTGAGTTCACAAAGCCGAAATGGGTCAGCAGTTCAGCTGGGAGCAGGCGGAGGCTGATGGGGAGATGGACGTGGCGGAGCTGCAGGAGTGGTACAAGAAGTTTGTGGTTGAATGTCCCAGCGGTACACTCTTCATGCACGAGTTCAAGCGCTTCTTCAAGGTCACGGGCAATGAGGAGGCCAGCCAGTACGTGGAGGGCATGTTCCGAGCCTTCGACAAGAACGGGGTAAGGAGCCCTGCAGGGGGACCTGTGACCTTCCCACCCTCGAGCCCCTCAGACTCTCCCGCTTCCCTATCCATGCTCCTTGCCTTTCTACCTCACCATTTCCCCAGATCCTCTCTCTCCCGTCGTTTGTCCTTTCCCCTCTTCTCATTGGCTCTCGACATCCTCTTCCTCAGAGGCAGAGGTCACTGGCACATCGCCTGAGCCTTCTCTGTGCATTTGGGGCAGAAGAACTACAACAGAACACGGTTTTTCAAACCCCATAGGGTCCCTGTTGCTCTAAACACAGGGACTGAGATGTCCCAAGGCCATCCTAGCAAAGATGAGCGCACCCCTTGCTAGGGTCCTCCAGACGGAGGCTGCCCAGTTCTTCCCTGTTGTGATGCTGGAAGGAGCTTCACACTGAAGGGAGGTGGGTAGGTGGTTGCAAAAGCCCCTTTTAACTGTGTGTGTGTGCACGTGTGTGTGTGTGTGCACGTGTGTGTGTTTGCACGCGCACATCCATGAGGCCAGAAGGGAGCGTCAGATACCTGAGAGCCCCAGTGTTTGTGAGCTGCCCAGTGAGGATTCTGGTATCCAAAAACGCAGTCCTCTGGTAGACCAGTAAGTGCTCTTAACTGCTGAGCCTTCTCTCTCCTTTTCAACGCTTTAATTCATGGAATCAAATCCCAGTTTCCTTAAGCCCTTCAATGGCACCAGCAGCTAAAAGATACTAAATTATATAATGCAACATGGTAATCAGACTTTAAAATTTTTTAAAAAATTATTTATCATATTATTATTTATTATATTATATATTAATTATATTATACATTATATTATTATTTATTATATATATACAATATTCTGCCTTGCATGTATCCCTGCAGGCCAGAAGAGGGCACCAGATCTCATTACAGATGGTTATGAGCCACCATGTAGTTGCTAGGAATTGAACTCAGGACCTCTGGAAGAGCAGCCAGTGCTCTTATACTCTGAGCTATCTCGCCAGTGCCCCAGGCTTTAAAATTTATATGTGTGTGTGTGTGTGTGTGTGTGTGTGTGTGTGTGTGTGCATGTTCATGCATACATTTGGAAGCCAGAGATGGATCTCAGGTGCCATTCCCTAGGGAGTGTTCATCTTGTTTTTGTAATCTGAAGAACTTGTGCCAAGCTGGCTCGATGGATGCCACATGAGGTCTAAGGCCACTCTTAGTCCCAGTCAGAGGGTGAAGGGTTCAGCAATTTCAGAGCAATGGAGCCTCTTCTGCTGAGATCAGTCACGAAACACCACAGGGCCCAGAGCCAACTTCAGCCCTCACAGGTCCACCTCCTCCTCATCTCCTCAAGGCTGAAGGAGCCTCACCAGGGAGGGCTGTGGTTTTTTATCTAAATTAAATGATGAAAAAACTTGAGTGAGAGCCAGGCGGTGGTGGCGCACGCCTTTAATCCCAGCACTTGGGAGGCAGAGGCAGGCGGATCTCTGTGAGTTCGAGGCTAGCCTGGTCTACAAGAGCTCTGAGGGCTGATACATTGGTGGTGGGGGTGGGGGTGTGTGCAGCCATCCAGTCCTGGAAAGCAGTCTAGTGTGAAGCCAAGGCAAACTGCACAGACAGACCCCGTTCCAAACAAACATCCAACCCAAGAAAGTGAGCCTATTTGCCCAAGGTCAAGTCTTAACTCCTGGTCCAGTGTTCCTACTCAGAGGGCTGGGAGTTTTGCTGTTATTTCTAGATTTGTTTTATTTTTTGTATGTGAGAGTTTTGCCTGCTTGTTTGCCGATTAGTGCAGTGTGTGTCTGGTGCCCAGGGAGGTCAGAGAGCACCTGATTCCCTAGAACCAGAGTCATAGATGGTTGTGAGCTGTCCTGTGGTACTGTGAACTGAACCTAGGTTCACTGCAAGAACAAATGCTCTTAACCATTGAGTCATCTCTCCAGCTCGTTTGAGACAGAGTCTCCCTATGTAGCCCAGTCTGGCCTAAAAGTCAAGATCCCCCTGCCTCAGCCGCCTATCTCTGCCCTCCTCTTCTCTCTTGAGAGTAGCCTGGCGGTTGGAATTTTATAAAAGGAGAATGGGGGCTGGAGAGATGGCTCGAAGTTCAGTGGACCCAGGCTTGATTACCAGCAGCCACATAGTGGCTCACACCATCCATAAGTCCAGTGCCATGCTATCCAGTGCCCCTCTTCTGACCTCCATGGGCACCAGGCACACATGCGGTATACATATACACATGTAGGCAAACATTCAAACATGTAAAACAAAATAAATAAATCTACAAAAAAAAAATGTAAGGGACAGCTGAAGCCACCTCTTGTTAGTCCGGATTCGCTTTGTTTGCTTGCAGACCTTTCAAGGCCGTATTGCCTGGACAGGCCTGCCGCACAGGCACCAGTTTGGACTTCCTGTGTAGCCGCTGCCGGGCCAGTGCACGGTGCAGCGGAGCCAGGGAGAGCCAGAGCAGCTACTCCCCCAGGTGCCTCCAGCCTGTACCGACTATATGGGTGTTTTCATCCATCTCCGGCTACAGTGGATAATTGTTGCTGATCTATGCACAGATGAGATTAACCCCAACCAGAGGTGCCCCAGAAATGGTCCCAGAGTTTCTATGACCTCACAGGGGAGGAGGCTGTACCAGGAGGGAGCTGTGCCAGAATGTGCCTCACACAGCACAGAGGTCATCATGGAAATAGAAAATTCTGGACAGATGATGAGGGACATTTCTCTAGACCTGGTGGCACGGGGCTGCTATCCCAGCTACACAGAAGGGTGAGGCAGAGAATGACAGGGTCCCGGGGTGAGGAACAGTGTGCACCATGACACAGAGCCCTGTTGGAGTCCAGGGACAGAGTCAGTGGGACTCATACCTGCTCCCTGGGGGCGGGGCGGTGAAGCCGAGATCTGCAGCCTCAACACTATCCACACTCAACGCAGGACAACACCATCGACTTCCTGGAGTACGTGGCGGCCCTGAACCTCGTGCTGAGGGGCACCCTGGAGCACAAGCTCAAGTGGACCTTCAAGATCTATGACAAGGACCGCAATGGCTGCATCGACCGCCTAGAGCTCCTGGACATTGTGGAGGTCAGTATCTGCCCGTGAGAGCGCCCCACCCTCTTCTCACTTCTGGGCCTGGTGTCCTGCTCAACAGGGAACCACCTGGCACTGAGTTGGAGTAGAAGTGATGAAACCATTCACAATGTGTTATCTGGGGTCATCAAAATGTCCCGGCTGTGTGGTTGCCGCCAAACCTGACAACCTAAACTCAACCCCTGGGATCTCACGGTGGAGTAAGAGGACAGGTGTGGAAGTTGTCCCCTGACCTCCACTCGCTCGCTGTGGTACACATGTGCTCACCCTCTGACGCACACGCTGCTTACACATACACAATAAGGGTGACGGTAAGAATAACAAATTCAATTTGAGAAAAGAAAACAAGAAATACCAATGACCTAAGAAGCCACCTACAGAAATTAAAAAGAGCAAATTAAACCCAAAAATTTAAAAAGAAGAAATGAATAAGGTAGAAAGCAAAGCTCACGCTGCAGTCTCAGCGCGCAGGAGACTTAAGCATGAAGGTCCAAGTTCGAGGCCAGAGCCCTGTGTGGGGAATTCCATACCAGCTTTGGCTAGAGTAAGACGCTGTCATAAAAGGAGAGAAAACAAGTGCATGAGAGAACAATTTGGAGTCAAAATCCTCACTGCTGCATTTGAGGGAGGAATTTAGAGCAGGAAGGGCCGGATTGGGTCACGATCCGGAAGTCTCACTCCTCCGTCCTCTTGTCTGTCAGCAAGACACAATGCCTTGCAATGGGGAGGCTGCTCATACCACGGCAGCCAGGACGCAGCCAGGCAGCCAGGACGCAGTCAGGCCGAGGGGCACCAGGCAAAGACCCCCTTCTAGACACGGGTCCTCCAAGCTCCCGTGATCCTCCTCTCATAGCTGTCAGGTTTTGTGTCCATCTGCAGGCTAAGCCGTTCATTCTGTCAGAGCCCTTTTGATCTGCGTGGCTCTAGGAAACACCTCCCTTACATGAAGGTATGATTAACAAACCTTCTAGGCGTCTCTCAACCCAATCAAGTTGACAGTTCCAATCAACTAACATAAAAAAATGAGGTCAATAAAAATCAAAATTGTTTCTTTTTGTGGGGTAGGGAGAACGTGCACCGTAATCTATTTGTTTTATCATTTTATGTGTATGGGTGATTTTCCTGCGTGTACAGTACAGTGGTGCCCACTTGTGTGTTGTGCCCTCAGGAGCCAGAGGAAGGGTCAGGTCTAAACTGGAGTGACAGGGGGTTGTTAGCCATCACGTGGGTCCTGACAATCCAGGCCCGGTCCCCTGGAAGAGCAGCCGGTGTTCTTAACCACCAAGCCATCACTGGAGCCCTGCCACGTTTTCTGTGTTTATTTGTTTGTTTATTTGTTTTGGACAGTCTTTCATTCTAAAGCTCTTGGGTTCCACTAAGTGGGCTTGCCAGTGAGCTCCCTGCATCTATCCTTAATCCTGAAACTGCTGAAGTGCCCAATAGACTTGCCCACTGGAGGTGCTTTCTCGGTTGAGGTTCCCTCTCCCCAGATGGCTCTAGCTAGTGTCAAATGGTATCTGGGTTAGGAGACACTAGGAGGCCAGCAATAGGGAGGCGGCACTAAGGGACACAGGCCCCTGAGGCTCTGTCAGAGGAGCCTAGCTCTTTCTCTCTGGCAGGCGATTTACAAGCTGAAGAAGGCCTGCCGAGTAGAGCTGGACCCGGAGCAGCAGGGCCAGCTGCTCACGCCGGAGGAGGTCGTGGACAGGATCTTCCTCCTGGTGGACGAGAATGGAGACGGTGAGAGAGAGCTGGGGAAAGATGACAAGGGGCACCCATTCGTGGGGTACAGCTTTTCTGAGGGTGGCTGATAGAGGCTGAGCCTGAAAGTAACAGTAATTATTTTAATTTTGCTTTATGTGCATGAGTGTTTTGCCTGCATGTATGTCTGTGCAGCATGTGTGTGCAATGACCCCCCAGAAAAGAGTGTTGGACCCCCTGAAACTGGAGTTACAGACAACTGTGAGCCACCATGTGACTGCTAGGAATTGAACTTGGGTCCTCTGTAAGAGCAGCCAGTGCTCCTAACCACTGAGCCGTTTCTCCAGACCTAAATACATTTTTTTTGAAGATAAAAAGATACCAGAGAAATGGTTCTGTCGATAAAGGCACTTGTCACCAAACCTGATGACCTACATTATTAAATCCCTGGTTGAAGGAGAGAACCAACCACTGCAGGCTGTCCCCTAACCTTCCCATCCACACTGTGGTGAGCATGTGTGCCCCGCCCAATCCCTATACAATAGTGATGATGATGATGATGGTGTGAGGGAGGCAGAGGCAGGAGGCTGTGAATTCAAGGCTAGGCTGGGCTCTGTAGTGAATTCCAAGTCAACCAGGGCTACACAGTGAGACCCTGTCTCAAAAAAGAAAAAGAAAGAAAAAAAGGGAAGAAAGTAGTTGGTGCCTGAGGAAAGACACCAGAAATTGGCTTCCATATGCATGCATGCTTGAGTGTGAGCATATACATGCACACACACGTACACACGTATGCATGTACAACTTATGAGTTACAAGAGACTCCTCTAGACGCAGAATTGACAAGCCACAGGCTTCGAATCCGAGACATCGGTTTGGTTTGCAGGGAGGAGGAGGTAGGAGGGCCTTCCCAGCCCATGCCCGGCTTCCCTCTCCTTGTGACCATGTCTCCCACCTTGCTCAGGCCAGCTGTCTCTGACTGAGTTCATTGAAGGCGCCCGTCGTGACAAGTGGGTGATGAAGATGCTGCAGATGGATGTCAACCCTGGTGGCTGGATCACTCAGCAAAGGCGGAGAAGTGCCATGTTCTGAGGGGCTGGGGACTCTTCCAAACCTCCGGGGTCCCCCAGGTTTTCAAAGTATCAGGAGGCCCTTGGCCTAGTTGGCTCAGGCCCACTCTTGCTTGGTGTGGACTTCCTGATACCCGACTTGGTGTGGGAAAACAAGGGGATGAGCCATGGCTGCTGGGCTGGAGAAGCCCACGGGGTTCAGTCCATTCTCAAGATTTCCTAGCGTTGTAGGGGAACTCAGTTACACTGCTCCTGGAAGAGCTGGGCCTTAGCTGGGAGACATGGGGCTCTCTCTAATCTTTAGGTGTTCTCAGTGGGAACGGGGGCGGCTGGAGGGGAGGGGAGGTGGGAGGCAAAGACTTAGGTAGGGAGCAGTCAGAAGAGAGTAAGGATGTGGAAGGATCGTGACTGCCCCACTACCCGAGCAGACTCCTCCCCAGGATGTCCTCCCCAGGGCTGACAAGGGCAGATGGCAGCAGACAGTTACTTCTGTGAGCCTCCGGCTCTTGGAGGCCTGCTGAGCTTAACAAAGGGTTTTCAGATGGGTGCTACTCCCCAGTTCCTCCTCCTCACCCCATCTCCAGCGGGAGCCTGCCGCCACTTCTAGCCATAAGTCCACATGCCTCCTTAAGGATGGAGACACCCTCTCTTCATCTCTGGGGAGAACCAGGCACCTATGCATTGGGGTTCCAGGCTGGACTTTACCTCCGACTGCTGTTGGACCCCTAACCTCCTGCAAGCTAACTAGGCAGTTCCTAGATTATCATATAGACGGCAACCCCAATATAGAAGCTAGATTTCCTGGGACCTCCCTGGTTAGCCCTCCTGCCTTCCTCTGCCCTTCACATCAGTGCAGCTGGGGAAGGCACCTTGGGGGACAGGAAGTGGAACCGGGATCACTCTCAGACAGTGACCCCCTGGCAAGCCTGATGGGTTATTGGCTTTACCCTGAGTAGATGCGCTTTTATGTTAAAATAAAGTAAGCTAACTTACTGACCTTGAGGGAAGTTTCTTCGCTTGTTTGAGAAAGGTTCCCCACACTGTAGCTCAGGCTAGCCTGGAGCTCACTCTATAGCCCAGGCTAGCCAGAACTCCTGCCTCCAGCTCCAGAGTCCTAAGATTACATGTATGAGCCAATAAGCCCAGGGTTTTTTTTTTTTTTTTTTTTTTGTTCCTTAGGGAGGTATTATTTGTTTTCCTTTTGGGGGCAGTTGAGATAGTTTTGGAAGCTCCTGTTAGCTTGAGACCCATGTCAATCCCCCTGCCTCAGTCCCTTGGGTACTGGTATCACTGGTGTGCACCATAGTGCCCAGCTTGAACTTCAGGTGATTCTTTTTGTTTTGTTTATTCTTATTTCTATTTTATGTGCATGGGTGCTTTGCCTGCATATCTCTGTGCACCATGCACATGTGCGTTGTCCACAGAGGCCAGAGAGGGTATACAGTTCCCGGGACTGGAGTTACAGATGTGTGTGAGCTGCCATGTGGGTGCTAGGTCCTCGGCTAGAGCAACAAGCTCTTGCTGCTGAGCCGTCTCTCAGCCCCTTGGGGGTTTCCTATTTCCTAGGATGTTGCTATAAAGGTTCCTTTAGAAATCACTTAGATAAAAAACGGTCCATAGAAAACGTGAACAGCATCCCAGTTAGGAAAAGAGATTTGTTCCCCCAAATCATGGAGGTGGATGAGGCATGGCTGGAGGATGCTTCGTCTAACACTGGCAGACACTAGATGCTCAATAATGTTCGTGCATCGCTTGAAGCCACACATTCAAGCTTCAGGGTCAGGGCAAGGTGTGACTGCCTGAAGCTGTGTCAGCAGATGCCAGGATTCCCTCAGAGTCCAGGAGCTCCCTCAGAGCTCCCGCACCCAGAAGGAAGTGGCCTGGGAAATACAGCGGGGAAGCTGGGCAAGAAAATATGACGAGTCCAGAGAGAGGCATCAGATCGGCAGAAACCACCAGAAAGTACCAAGCAGGAAGGAGGAACCAAGGCCCATTCTCTGTGTGGGGCTCTCATCTCCACGCTACTGCTCCCCCTGCTGGCACTATGCACCCAAAGAAAGAAGCGGAGCCTCTGAGTTCAGGAGATTCTATGTAATGCTAAGACAAGAACAAAACCATCACATCAGGCACCACACCGGGCCAACCCTCAGCATACAGAAGCCACAGAGTAAGGCTCAGCCTGCAACCTCCGCTACGGGGTCGCCAGCGTCTTCCTCCTCCTGTTCACCATTCTGGAGTCTGCGCACAATGCCGGTCAAGTCCAGGCTTCGGGTCAGCGTGTCCAGGAGCATCTGGTCCTTCTGGACGCCTTCCATGAACTCCTCCAGAGACAGTTCCCCTGGGATGGAGAAAAACGGATTCGCAGGATGAGGCCTCAGTAGCCCAGGGCTCAGAGCTAGATGCTTGCCAAGAGCAGGGACAGAGCCAGCTTTGGAGCATTGGTCTAGAACCCAAGATATATTGCAGGTTTCCCTAAAATCCAGTTCTGAGCCACAGCAAAGGTGGGTAGGGGAGGCGACCAGCAGAAGGTCCCCTTTCCTTCTCCTCTCTTTCCCCTGTTCAGGGATGCCGCCAACCCGCGGGGAACCCCTCCTCGGCCCCCTCACCATCCCCATTGATGTCGATCTTGGCAAACACGGTATCTGTGAACTCCTCGGCGCTCATGGATGAATCGCTCCAGGGATTAATGGTTCGAATGGCCTGGGAGGACAGACAGAAATGAGGGGATCCGTCTCCGTGGTGGGGGCGGCAGCAGAGTGAACTTGTCAGAACTCAAAGAGCGGTTCAGAGTGGCCTCAGGCGCTTGGGAGACTGAGGCAGAATTGCCTCAAATTCGAGATCAATACGGCCAAGTAGTTGTGAACCAGTCTACACTACAATTTAAGATCCTGTCATTAAGGGGGCTGGAGAGATGGCTCAGTGGTTAAGAGTACTGACTGCTCTTCCAGAGGACCCGGGTTCAATTCCCAGCACCCACATGGCCGCTCACAACTATCTGAAGATCCAGTTGCAGGGGATCTGACACCTTCACACCAATGCACATAAAATAAAGTTAAATAAACCATAAGAAATATAAAAAAAATACTGTCATTAGGTACCGCGGTGGCACAGCACATGACTTTAATTTCTGTGCTGGGGAGGCAGAGGCAGAGACAGGCAGACCTCCGTGAGTTCCAGGCCTGCCTGGTCTACATACTGAGACTCACAAAAAAACAAATGCTAAGGTGGTGGTAAAAGTGTGCTTGCTGCCTAGGTAAAAAGTCAGGTGTGGTCACCGTGGGGCTGGAGCAAGAGGCCTGCTGGGGCCTAGCTCCAGTGACAGACCCTGTCTCAAGAAGACAGAAGGACAGAGCAAGACACTTGACACCCTGCTCTAACGTCACAATACACACCCACACACGTAAAGAGTGGAGGCTTAGCAATGCCTTAGTGCCAGTGAGGAAACTGAGGTCCAGATCATGCAGCTGGTGAGAAAGCTGTCATCCCTCGGTCCCAAATCCCATCTCGTTTCTATCCTGGCGCTCTCAGCCCGGGCACCCGCCCTTGGCTACCCTCGGCGCACCACTGGTCTAGCCCTCTGCACCTGGAGTTACCCGGATGATGGTGAGCAGCTCATCCCTGTCTATGCACCCGTTGCCGTCCACGTCGTAGAGCTTGAAATACCAGCGTAACTTCTGTTCCACCTTGCCCTTGAGGACCAGGCTGAGGGCAGCCACGTACTCCATGAAGTCAATGTAGCCATCCTGCCGGAGGGGAGAGGGGGAAGGTGGGCTAAGCACTAGAGATCTCCGCCCACCCTACTCAGAGCCCCTCCAGCTTCTGTCAGAACCCCACATCCATCCTCCTCACACCCCCACCCCGCATCCAAAAGCCTTCAGATGCTAAGCAGAAGGGAGCTGAAGCCAGCTCGTTGTACCACCAATATCCGTCCTTCTGGAGACTTCAGCATTGCCTGCCTCTCATCTTCCTCTCAGGCTGTCAATCAAACCTGTCAGATCCACCCCCCTGCTTCCCCTTGATTCCCAAACAGGGACCCTTCTCAAGCCTAAGCAGGTGGGAGAAGGCAGAGCAGGGCTGGAATCGTGATTCATTCGGGAGAGCTCTTGAGTTGCTGGCTTGGTTCTTTCCTCTTGGCTTCAAGCTCCACTGAGCCCTGTTGTGTGCTGAGAAAGACTGGGAGAACTCGGGGCTCAGTGAAACAGTCACCCTGTCCTGCAGGAGTGAGGTGTTGGAGGTGCGGGTTTGCATCCTGCCTCTTGGCCATCTCGGAGTTTTAGGATGTGGGACAAAAGACTTGTATGGCTCTCCTCTGTAGAAGAGAGGCAGTGTGGTTCCCACTGCCAGGATTGCTTTGGTTGAAACGAGCTCCTGCAGCTTGAGCAGCAAGCACAGCAGAGCACAGGAAGTCAGCGCATGCTGTTTATTGTTGCCTTTCTTTTTCTTTTTTGGTTTTATTTTGAGGCAGGGTTTCTCTGTGTAGCCCTGTCTGTCCTGGAACTCCTCTGTAGACCAGGCTGGCCTCGAACTCAGAGATCCGCCTGCCTCTGCCTCATGAGTGCTGGGATTAAAGGTGTGTGCCACTACACCCAGCTCTGTTTGCTTTCTTTAAAAAGTTTATTTATTGGGTTGGAGAGATGGCTTAGCGTTTGAGAGCACTGACTACTCTTCCAGAGGACCTGGTTCAATTTCCAGCACCCACGTGGCAGCTCACAACTGTCTGTAACTCTAGTTCCTGGGGACCTGACACCCATGGCAAAACACCAAAGCACATAAAGACAGCCTGGTCTACAAGAGCTAGTTCCAGGACAGGCACCAAAGCTACAGAGAAACCCTGTCTCGAAAAACCAAAAAATAAAAAAAATATAAAAAATAAAAAAACAAAGACAAGTAAATTTCTAAAGGTGTATTTATTTTTATTAGTGTGTCTGTGTCTGTGTAAGTGTTTGCTGTATGTGTGGGTGTCCTTGGAGGTCAGAAGAGGAGAGCGTAGCCCCTGGAGTAGCTGTGAGTACCCTGGTGTTGGCGCTGGGAACTAAACTCTGTCCTCTGAAAGAGCAGCACACATCAGTCACTGAGCCGCCTCTCCAGCATCTATTCTCGTGTGTGTGTGTGTGTGTGTGTGTGTGCGCGCGCGCGCGCACGTGCACGCACATGCACGTGCATGTGTGCATGTGTGCATGTGAGTGCAGATGCACAAGGGTCAGATCTCCTGGAGCTGGAGTTACAAGCCATGAGCTGCCCACATGGAGCTGGGAAGTGAACTCAGGTCCTCTGGAAGAGCAGCAAGCGCTCTAAACCACTGAACCATCTCTCCAGCCCAGGATTACTCCTCATATGACCAGTACAAAGTCCCTTTGGGGGCAGGGGAAGACGCCTATGCCATCACAAGGCATCATCCCCCAACTCTGCAAAGGCGGGACAGAATGGGGTTCAGACAGTCTTTCAAGAGAAGGTGACACCTCCACTGAGTCTTGAAGGGTGTTGATCATGGAGGAACACGTGATTTTCATATGTAACATGAAGTTGTTGCCATACTGGGGATTGAACCTAGGGCCTCAAGCACTCAGGCATACTACCACTCAGCTATATCCCCAGCTCAAGGAGCACAAGACCAGTTTGTAGGACAATCCTCCAGGGCCCCTGCCGCTCTGCTCCTGTCCTCTGCTCAACCCCAGCATGTCAAGGAGGAGCGAGAACGGCAGTGCCTGCCCCTCCACTTCCAGCCATAACTTGAGAACTGAGAGACCCAAGCAGGCAGATTGGAGCTGTAATGAAGGAACCTATGGCAGGCAGAGCGGGGGGGGGGGGGGGGGGGGGGGGGGGGGGGGGAGGCCATCTGATCAGTAATGATATCACTGTCATTGGATGCATGCAAGGGGAGCTGGCAGGGATACGGCACAGTTGAGGCAAGATGGTCTCTGAGATTCCCTGGTCTGTTTGGC